CTTAGTTACAAGCGGGCCGGGCCCAGTTCACTACACGGTGAACCGCCGACCCGGCCCGACAAATGGACACGTCTAACAACAAGTTTCCCCTACACGACCCTTCACGGCCAGACAAAACCCACAAAACACTCACACCTATGAGACTAGAAAACTCCACGAGGGAGTCGAAAATACTCCACAAGGGGAGACGACGAAAAACACACTCCTAAAGAGAGAGAAAAGACAAAAAACACATAAAAATACACACAAAACTTAAACGAAAAAACATAAAACATATATTAAAGCCCTCTCCACACCGGCCAAACCTCGTCTAGCAACCTGAAGGCTGATGCAAGCCAACACCCAGATGACCACTCAATTAGGATCGAATCTCGACCCAAAATCCTAGAAACTCCACGACCGACTATCAAGACACGGACCTAAGACGAAACCTTACCCAGGAGGTCATCCTCAGACTAGTACCAGCAAAGCCACGCACAAACCTCTAGACCAGCTGGCGACAACTCGTTGTTGCCGCAGCCGCCGTTAGCCCAACACCACAACCGAAACAGAGGGCGAGAGGTAGAGTCGCAGATCACGAGATTCAACCGCCAGACGGCCAAGCGCCCACTGCCGCCACAAAGCCGCCCAACGACCACCACAAACGCATCCGCCATGGCCCTCCTGTGGGAAAGAAGGGGGAACCCAGGGGAAGAAGAGAGCGGTGACCCTCGGATCGGCGACCCAAGCCCGTACTGTTGGGAAAAATACGTTGAATTTTTCATGAAATCGGATCTATAAAAGTGAAATAAAAAAAAGTTGGACACACCAAATTGATAACGAAGTTTGGCCAGTAATGCCTACATCTCCGGACTACTGCAAATATTTTATTAGGAGAAAAAAAATACACTCGTGTTTACAAAACACTCTAAAATTCACTCACAACTCACAACTCAATAATTCACACAAATGCTAAATAATTTTCTAGCTCGCTCTCTCTTTTTTTCTTCTTGAATTTTTGGTTGTGTTGTTTGTACATCAGAATCCCCCTCTATTTATAGAGGGGAATTGGACCTTTTTTTTTTTCCACAAAGGCTGCACATTCAACAGCCAGAATTGAAAGCCTTCAGCAGCCAAATGTAATAAATGCATTAGCAACCCTTTTTGACTGAACAATCTTCTACTTGTGGGCTGATTTCAATTTGTCCTCACACCTCAATTACTGCAGTAGTCTTATCGGTCTGTTATCCTAGCAAGCCAACTAAAGTTGAGCACAACTTCAGTTTGTCAATGGTCGATACCTTCGTTAGCATATCTGCTGAGTTCTTGCTTCGTACAATCTTATTCAAAGTCAACACTTCATCCTCAAAAAAAGATCTGATGAAATGATATCGTATGTCAATGTGCTTAGTTCTGGAGTGAAACACTGAGTTATTTGCCAAATGTATTGTACTCTGACTATCACTGTGCAAAACACTTTTTATTTGACTGAAACTCAACTGTGCTAACAATCTTTGAAGTCCTATCAATCCTTAAAATAGTTACATTAATAAAAAAATTATAATTTACATTAATTGATTAACCTATAATTAAGCTACAATTATTTATTTGCATCATATTCTCCAAATCAATTATATAAGTTTTCCCCCGATGCGCCACATCCCACCATCAATCTTCCGCCAGCCGCCGCGGCCACGGCCACGGCGACGGCCACGCCGTCTACCAGCGCCGGACATCAACGAAGAACCGAAGACAGAAGTTCCGCTGCTCGAAGTTCGAGTTCCACTCGATGAACAGGTTTCTTACATCTAACTCAAATTTAGACACTAATTAGAATACATATACATGTGTTTAAGGTAGATTTGGGTCATATCGCCGTTTCTGTGTGTTGGGTTCATATTATCTACTCAAATCTGGACTCTAGTGAAAACGCGTTTTTGTTGTTACGGTAGAAATTAGGCAAAGTTCCATTTTTGTTCCCCTTCATTTTTGGAGCAAATAGATTTGTGTATATGTATGGCATAACTGGTTTATCACCCATTGGTTTATTTGTTGTAACTTCATGTAAATCATAGATTGATGGTGGCAAAAGCACTCAAGGCCCTCGGACTTATTACCCAAGGAGCTGCAAAAGGAATAGTCCGACGAGCTTAGAGTTTCTACCGGACGAGCTGTTGTTTGAAGTCCTCTGACGCGTCCCGAGCCAAGATATTTACGAGGCAAGGCTCGTCTGCCGAAAGTGGTACCATATGATCCATACCCATCACTTCATCCACGCACAAATCGAGCACAAAACTCACGTGCTTCTCTTCAACTCCAAAAGTCCCGATTTCGACTCGCTCCTAATGCACGCACGGGAAGGCCGGGCCGAAATATCCAAATTCAAGTGCCATCGTACGTGCAATCTTCAGACTAGTTGTAATGGTTTGATATTGGAGTATGAAGAGCCTATCATAGATAATATAAATCTCTACATCTCGAATCCCACAATCGGGAAAATACACTTTCTGCCTCCATTTGTTGGTGGAGTTCCAAATTTGGCGTGGGGAATAGCATATACTTCTGTTTCCATGGCGTATAAGGTGGTTCTGCCCATCAGTACCGGGCAAGGCCTGGAGATAAAATTTTATATATTAATTGTTGGAGTGGATAAGTCTTGGAGGGCCGTTGATTTGGGACAAATGTCGATTGAGGCCATTCGTGTATTCTTTTTTCCTCCAGCGATCACCGAAGGTTTCATCCACTGGTTCCATGCGCATAGCAACATGGTGTTGACTCTCAATGTGGAAACCGAAACCGTTACAAAGACTCCCGGCCCAAGGCCCAGCCGAGGCATTTTTAAGCACCAGACGAATATATATTTGTCGACTGGGAAGTTTTTGTCTCTATTGCTTCTGTTTGGGGAATTTTCGTGGCAAGTTTGGGAGATGAGGCCAGAAAATGGGGAATGGAGAAAAACGGGCAGTGTTTGCCTCGAGTCTTAGAGGTTCAGGTTCAAGCGCCTCGGTTTAACTCAGACAACGGAGACTATTATTGCACGTCCGTTGTTATTCGAACCGCGAACCGGTTTAGCCCCGGTTGGTTGGGTGAAGTACTCGGAGTTGTTGGTTTTGAGTGCTTAGGATCCTATACAAAGCACGATTTTTATCTTCAATCTTGTGACGGGGGAATTTGATGAATCAGAGTTACCTACCTTTTGTGCAGAATACACGATTTTGTTGCATAAGAGCAGTTTGGTTTGGTTGTGTGGATAAAGATAGATAACATCGAGTGATCTGTCTAATCTATTAAGTTAAGTAGACGTTACTCGTGCTTCTCGTTTTTTCCATTTAGGTTGTTAGAATTTCATTATCGAAGAGCACTCTTTGCAGGGAAGGAGATTAGTTGATTTAATGTTATTTTCTTTTGGTACACTCATATTATAGTGAAATATCACATTTAACTGGAAAAATACAGTTTGTGATTTATAATTTCATATAGAGGAAAATGTCTGCATTATACGACATAGTCAGTTATTGTGATATAACACGATTGTTTATTAATATTATAAATTATAATAATTCAAAACGAAAATGGGGAAAAATTTCAAGGCACAGGTTCAAGCGACTTAGTTTAATCCCATCCGATGCACGATTTTTACTTCAGTCTTGCGACGGGGGAATTTGTAATTAAAAGGGGCCTTAGTCTTTGATTTGTGTTAATTGGCTATCTGACACTGAATATTTCTATGCAAGTGTTCTCAATTTGTGATCTCCATGTTTATGTAGTCTCGTCTATATTTGCTTCATGACAGGATTGATTCGGTGTTTACAAGATAAGACTTAAACAATTTGCAAGTATTGGAATGTATTGGAATGCTGTTGAGAACACTTGCCGACTTATGTTGTGTTTTCACAAGTATTTCAATTTGCAAGCTAATAGAAGATTGAAGTTTAATCGAATATTGTGGCAGCCATATATGAGCTTTTACAACATTATGCTGGAGCTTGGAAAAGCTGGCATGTCAAAGCTGAGAATAAGCAGGAGATGAACCCTGGTCTGGGGTCTTAATCCACTTTCAGCTCTTCTCGCACGTCAGGTCGCCCGCTCGCGAATGGCAGGTTGCTGGCAAATGAAGCGCTGGGAGTCGCAACTTTGAAAGAAGGAGATGGCGGCTTTGAAAGAGGCAGGGAAAAGGTTAACTCGTTATGATGGAGACACGAATAAGGAGATGATGGAGAGATATGACCGTTTTGGACGCGACTGGGATGGGGATAGTCTAGTAGTCTACGTCGCGACAGACGTAAAGTACGCCTGGTTAAGTGAGAGTAAGGAGCTGGCCAAGTCGGGCCGATGGAGCTTGGCGTAGCAAGTGTTATATGACTATCAGGTGTTTTCTGCACCTTATTTTTTATTAATAATTATTTTTAAATAAGGTTGAATAAAATATTCTTTTTAATTTTTTTTTTCTGTTATTTTTATTAACGGGTCGGGTATGAGATTTGCGAGTAATTTTGTTGTTAGGGTAATGAAATTGAAATAACTTGAATGTGTGATATTGAAATTGAAAATTACTCCTTAGTCTATATACTGAATTCGCTATCTGCCCTTAATAAATAGTGTTGCAGTCATTTTAAATTAAATATAGAACAAAAATTTTGGACATTTTCATTATCACACCTAACGTTTAATGCTTGTTATAGTACTAATTATATTTTTTTCCCTTGTTAACAAATAATTTTTCAAAAAATAATGTACCAGGAACATATAAAAGTTTTTTATACATAATTTAATAAGTAATTTTCTAAATTGCATCGCTTTCGCTGTAAAAGAGAGATGACCTGTGAACATAGTTTGGGAAATGTTACCATCTATTACGGGATGGTTCCGTTGTCTATTGTGGCCGTAAATATATATATGTAATTTAGCAACGGAACCATCCCGGATGGTAGCATTCTCCTATTTATTATTATTTTTTATGTTTTGAAATAAGTATATAAAAGTTTATTTATCTTGCCAAACAGTTCCTCCATATTTTGCATTCCTTTTTCTACGATGTAAAAAAAGAAAATTATTTTAAAATAAAATAAGTCTAAAATTCGTAGGAAAAGGAAAAGATAATACAGTATAATTTTGTTGAAATTGATTTTCTATATTAAGTCCCATAAAATTGATATAAAGTCTAAATACCATTATATATCTGCAAATCAATTATAAGTTTCCCCCGATGCGCAACATCCCAACATCAATCATCCGCCAGCCGCCGCGGCCACGGCCACGCCGTCTACCAGCGGCGGACTTGAACGAAGAACCGAAGTCAGAAGTTCCGCCGCTCAAAGTTCGAGTTCCACCCGATGAACAGGTTTCTTACAGCCAACTCAAATTTAGACATCAATTAGAGTACATATGTATGTGTTTAAGGTAGATTTAGGTCAAGCTTCAATCTTTTACCCCATATGGCCGTTTCTGTGTGTTGGGTTCATATTATCTACTCAAATCTGGACATTAGTGGGAACACGTTTTTGTTATTAAGGTAGAATTTAGGTAAAGTTTCATTTTTTTTCCCCTTCAATGTTTGGAGCAAATAGATTGTGTATATGTATGGCAATAATTGGTATATCCCCTTCATGTAAAACGCAGATTGATGGCGGCAAAACCGTTCAAGCCACTCGGACTTATTATTATCCAACGAGGTGCAAAAGGAAGAGTCCGATGAGCATAGAGTCTCTGCCGGACGAGGTGTTGTTTGAAATCCTCTCGCGCATCCCGGGCCAATATATGTACGAGGCAATGCTCGTTTCCCGAAAGTGGTACCGTATGATCCATACGCATGAGTTCATCCAAGCACAAATCGAGCACACAACACACGGGCTTCTCTTCATCTCCAACAGACCCGATTTCGACTCGATCATAATGCACGCACGGGAAGGCCAGGCTGAAATATCCAAGTTCAGGTGCTGACGTATGTGCAAGGTTAAGACGAGTTGTAATGGTTTGATGTTGAAGGATGAAGAGCATAAAACGGAGAATATCTACATCTCGAATCCCACAACTGGCCAAATATTTGTTCTGCCTCCATTTGTTGGTGGGGCCTATTCGAACACATCGGGAATAGCATATGCTTCAGCTTCCATGGCGTACAAAGTGGTTCTGCCCATCAGTCCCGGGGGAGGCATGAAAGAAAAATGTTATATATTAACTGTTGGTGTGGATAAGTCTTGGAGGGCCGTTGATTTGGGACACCTGTCGATTGAGGTCACTTTGGCACTCCGTTTTCCTCCGGTGATCACCGAAGGTTTCATCCACTGGCTCCGTGCGGAAAACAACACGGTCTTGACTCTCAATGTGGAAACCGAAACCATTACAAAGACTCCCGGCCCAAGGCCCAGCCGAGGCATTCTGGAGCACCAGGTGAATATATATTTGTCGACTGGGAAGTACTTGTCTCTATTGCGTCCATGTGGGGAATTTTCGTGGCAAGTTTGGGAGATGAGGCCAGAAAACGGGGAATGGAGAAAAACAGGCAGTGTTTGCCTCGAGTCTCGCAGGTCCCAGTTCGAGCGACTCCGTTTAACCCAGCCAATCGGGGTTCTTGCACGTCCTTTGTTTTTCAATCTACGAACCGGTTTAATACCGGTTGGTTGGGTGAAGTACATGGAGTTGTTGGCCTTGAGTGCTTTGTATGCCTTCCGAAGCACGATTTTTATCTTCAATCTTGTGACGGGTGAATTTGATGAAATAGAGCTACCTACCTATCGTGCACATTACACGATTCTGTTGCATAAGAGCAGTTTGGCTTGGTTGTGTGGATAAAGATAGATAGCATCGAGAGATCTGTCTAATCTATTAAGTTAAGTAGACGTTTTTAGGTTCTTAGCTGATACTGATTATTTCTATGCAAGTGTTCTCAATTCGTGATCTCTATGTTTTTGTGGTCTTGTCTATATTTGCTTCATAACATAATTGATTGGTGTTTACAAGATAAGACTTGACCAATATGGGTAGACTGTATGTGAATTGACCCATATTTTTTTTTAAACAGAGGATATATAGTGGTTCTCCATTTACCCTTTGATGACTCGAATTCGAGACTTATTGGTCCCAAGTGAAAGGTGCTACCAAGTATTCAAGACATCAATCTTGAGAAAACTACAAAATATTCAAAATCCAAGCTAGCATCAACTCAAAATCAATCTTGAGAACACTATAGAATATTGCGTTTGCAACCTAACAGATCTCATACTTGCGATTCTCGCTAAAACATGACCAACGAGTTCACTCGAGAGGTGTAATTCAACACATACGGTTGCGTTTGCAGCCATCATGATAATTAAAATTGATGAAATAAATAGAACAAATCTCGATAATTAGGGCTTTCCTGCAGATCAAGGCCTTAGTCATTGTTGAATTGGTGTGGAACTTCTACACCAGCTTCCAAATATCAAATATCCTTCACAAATAAATTTTATTTGAAACTTTTACACCAGAATATCGAATATCCATCTGAAATATATTTTATTTTATTTTTTTGAAAAACTATTAAAATATATTATTATTTATATTTTAAATAACATAATCACATATGCGACGTACTCATTTTATATTATAATATTTTGTAACTTAAATCATATAACTACTTTATATTAAACTTATTTAATTGACAAACAATTATACAAATTTAATAGATAATTTATTTTTATTTGTAAATATAAATACAATTCAAATCGAAGCTAATGAATATATGTTTGATTTGATATAAAAAAAATGATAGTAAATATAAAAGTTAACTTAAAAATAGTTTTACAATATAAGTTAGTAAATTTATTATATTTTTTTTTTAAAAAAAAATATTGGAAGAAAAAGAAGGATTGAGGAAAATAAATTCTTGACTTAAAAGCACGCCAAAAATAGAAAATTATATTAACACAATTATTAGAGCTGTCAAAGCACCCGCGGCCCATCGCGGTTTGGGCCTTAATTTTCCAGGCCCACTTTGCGGGCTGAGGCGGGGCAACCCGCCTGATGAAAAAAATAAATACATATTGATGAGCCAAAATAATCGATTCACTGATGTTGTCGGTCGAACCGCCTCATCTCGATTGACATGAGAGTTCGGACGCTTGATCGCTTTCGTCTTCAAGAACCGGATCGACACGCTCAAGTCAAAAAACTGATATTTTGATCGTATCTTAAGTAATATTAAGAGCTTAAGATTAGAAAATGAACATGGTCCCTTATTTATAAGTGGTTTAATGACTTACTTCCCAAGATAATGAGTTTTCTCACTAAATTAGAATTCTGATGTTCCTCGATAACTGTGTATATAGATATCAACTTTCATTAATATCTTTAACTAATACAGTTTAACCCATAAATTGGGCCTAAATTTCCTTGGACCGCCCTTATTCGAGCTAACCGCTCAAGCCGGTCCACTGAATTATTTTTTATGCTACATCACATATACATATATTATATATATTGGATGGCCAAGATTATAATATAAGAAGTGGGTACATTATGATTCACTGTTGGTTTTTTTTTTTTTTTTTTCAATATAGTTCAGATGGTTTTAGAAAAAAAATCATGTCTTGTTTGTTATTACAAAACAACGCACTTTCAACTTCTATTTTATATTATTATTTTGTTATTCATATTTGTGTACATGAAATATTGCATCATGCACATATATTATCAGGGCGGATCTAGAAAAAAAATTGGGAGGGGCCAAAGAAGTTATTTGGAATCAGATTGTGTCTATCTAACTTGTGAAAGTTTGATCTTATATCATTCATGTATTTAAATGAGGCAAGCTAGAATGACTATTCAAATTTTCTTATGAAACAAATCGAGTAGCTTGAAGCTTACACAAGTCGAGTTTGAACTCATATTTTTGTTTATTTATTAAATAGTCAAGTTGATCCGACTCATTTATTAACTATCACAAGTTTAAACATGAGGTATTCAACTTGACTCGGCACGGAGAACATTTCATGGGGAACTATCTAATTTATAGTATCTCTGCACACACACACACACACATAGGCATAAAATTACATTTTAAAATGGATAAAATAATTAATATGTTGCTCTACTAAATATGGTGTAGTTAAAACTAATTAGTAATTAGAGCAGTAATTTGTAATAATTACAGAAATTAGTATAAATTGAATATGTTTTATAATAATGTTTAATCTATAGTATATATATATATTAAATATTTAAAAGTCTTAGAATATATATATACATACATATATATAGTTCCGCTCACTTGCCCACGGTGGGCAGTGCCCACCACTTTTTGTTACATGAAAAACGTATTCTGAGAATACGTTTTTTAATTAAATTAGTTGAAAAACGTATTCTCAAAATACGAATACGTTTTTCATGTAACAAAAAGTGATGGGCACTGCTCACCGTGGGCAGGTGAGCGGTTCTATACATATATATTAAGGCAAATGAAAAGTTTGGGGGGGGGGGGGGGGGGGGCAATGGCCCCCCTTATGATAATGTAGATCCGTCTCTGTATATAATGCTGACGGATGACTCCAAGTAACGGATTCAAATAAAATGACACGTGCATACTCTAAAAATCTCAAAGGCCAATAGAAGGTTTTATACATGAAAAGTAAAGTCAAGTTCATGCAGACTACCCAGAAGAAGTTGATGAACCTCAGCATAACTCTTGCTTTTGATGTACAATTTATATTTGATCAACAGTACTCTTGAAACTGACTGTCTATGCTTTCAAGTATAAGAAACACTCTACACCTTAACCCATCTCAAATGTGCTCATACATGAGACACCACATTCTCCTTATACACCAAATCATCACTTTGCTGTGTGCCCTGGCCTTATAATAAGTGTTGTAAACAAGCCAAGCCGAGCTCGAGCTCGAACTCGATCTCTTAACGAGCCGAGCTCGCCAAACGAGCTTTTAATGAGCTCGAGCTCGACTCGTTAAGGCATCGAACTCGAGCCTTAATGAGCCGAGCCGAGCCGAGCCGAGCCAGACTCGTTTAATTTAACAACACTACTTATAACACGGATCAAAGAAAAAACTAATGAAGCGGACCTAGCCCGCCGACTGGGCGGGCTAGAATTTCACAGGTGGGCCTTCCCACCCCGCCCCTTCAAAAGGCGGGCTACGGACCGGCCCGCCTTGCCCCGCCAGCCCATTTGATAATTCTACATTTAATGTTCATAAAAATGGTCATAAATGTCCAATATATTTATGAATAATTTCAAACTTAATTTGTTTATGGATTCGAAGTAAATTAAAACTTAGTCAAGCCAAGTGGCAGAAGCATAAATTTCGCAACATAGGATCATGAATTGTGCGAGTATGCACTTACACTCAACACATTCGAGAATTATATATAGTGAAGATTATTATAAATTTAAATAACAACTAGTATTTGATCCTGTGCATTTGCGCAGATATAAAACACGTAGTAATAATAATAATAATAATAATAATAATAATAATAATAATAATAATAATAATAATAATAATAATAATAATAATAATAATAATAATAATAATAATAAAAGATTGTAACATCAAAAGGTGGTAAACAATAATCAATATTATTATATTTATTGTTAGTAATTAAATATAGAGAGAGAGATATAAATGATAAGTTTGTAACGGTTCTTGGAGAGAAATCGAAATGAGGTTTTATTAAATGTTTTATTAAATGCTATTAGCCCGCAATTATATATACTAGTAGATATCCTGTGCACATGCACATATGTACATAAAATACTATAAGTAATATTTGAGAATTTAATATTAAAATTCTAAATAATGAACATATTACATTTTCAAAGATTTGATCATTAAGAAAAATAAATTAACGATTTTATTATTATGAAAAATTGTTTATTTTGATTAGATAATAACAATTTTATTATTATTATTATTATTATTATTATTATTAAAAAATAATTGTTTATAAGCTTCTAATGTTATTTGACTATGCTATTAAAACAATTTACTAATTGTTTTTAAAGAATTTTTTTCATGAGATACAAAAGAAAATGATAATATTGATGGTAATATAAATAACTTGAAACAATTGTTTATAATTATGTAATTTATAATTATTGTGAATTATTATTAGTTGGTATTAGCAATAACTATTATATAATATAATAGAAAAATACATAATTACACTTAATAGGATGTATTAATGTGAGAAGTAAATGATAAATTTTGTAACCGAAAATGGAGGGAAATTTTAGAGGTTTTATTAAATAGATTTTATTAGATGTTATATGCTAGCAATTATATATATATAGATTTATGTAATAAAATTAATTATAAAGTTATTCATTTACAAAACGAAAGACAGAAAATAAATGTTCAATAAATTTATTCGAAAAAACACGTATAAATTTAATTATAAAGTATTTGTATACCACTACTTTATGGATTGTTTCTCTTTATTCTAGATATTTTACTACATAAATATTTTAAATAGTTAATTTAATTTGAGATATTTAAAATACTTTAGAATTATTTTAACATGTCTTTAAGTTACTCTAGAATTATTTTAACATTTCTTGGATTGAACTTACTATCATACATGTCATATAAAATTAATGTATAAATTATATATATATATATATATATATATATTAAAACTAAATATATGTAAATTAATGTATATGATTATAAACAAAATTTTAGGAATAAGAAAAATACATTAGAAGAATTATAGTGAGGCAAGAAAAAATTTCCTATTAAACTTGAAAGAGGAAGAAGAAGAAAAGAGAGAACTTTAAGATATCCATACGTTTCAGATAACCTTTATCTTCATGAAAAAGGAGGAATACTTTCTATATTATCTTCCTCAACCAATTCTGGGAACAAAATATAACTGGTTGATATTTTTTATGTAATTTATTTCATTGACAAATTGTAAATAAAATATGGTTGATATTTTTATATAATTACTTTATTAATAAATTGTAAATGAAATACTAATACGAGAATTCAATCGGATGAACGATGAAGTACAATGTTGTAATGTAGTTTTTTTTTTTTT